GAGTGGAGGTTCGCCAGATGGATGCTCGGCAACGGCGTTCTGAATGCGCGCTGCCTGAGCTTCACGAGTGCGACACTGCATGTAGCCAAATGGAAAAACTCCTAAGTAGTGCTGAGCTATTTGCTGATAAACTGGAGGGGAAAAAATAATCATTTTTGAAATATTATTTTTGTACTATTTACTGTAATATGTCAAAAACATCATAAAGCTCAGAAAGTCATGTGTCATATGTCATTTGAAAGGTCTCATGGAGTAGATTACTACGAGTATAATTGTTTTGGGGTCTGTCTAAACTGGAGCGAGGTTTTGTACGTGAAATCCACATTTAAAGAAAGCATTCTTTACAGCAGATTCTCACGATTAAAAAGAGTCCACATTTATAATCAGTCACTTATATCTAAAGATATTCCGCTGGGAGTTAAAAAACACATAAAACCCTTCAGACGCTCATGTATCAGAGTGGTCATAATAACACTTACAATCAAGTGACATTTTCACTCGTAACTTAACGAAACATGCACAGATCGTGGAAATCTGCACATCACTGTTTACATCAGAGTCTCACGATTAAAAAGAGTCCATGCTCAACAAATTCCATCACTCCAATCGCAGGATATCTTTCATTGAGTTCATATAACACACAACATTTAAATCATTTGCAGTACACATATAGGGGAACGTACTTAAAAAAGAATTTTCCTCCTACCTTATTTCCTTCCTGAGTTATTGCATGTCAAATAATAAAAATAAATTAAAAAAAATTTTTTTTTTTGGGCTTTTATCAGCAGTTTCTCATCAAAAGAAACTCCAAATGTCACAATTTGTTTTAAATGTAACATTTAGAACATTTCCTCCTACCTTATTTCCTTCCTGAGTTATTGCATGTCAAATAATAAAAATAAATTTAAAAAAAATTTTTTTTTTTTGGGCTTTTATCAGCAGTTTCTCATCAAAAGAAACTCCAAATGTCACAATTTGTTTTAAATGTAACATTTAGAACGTTTTCTTTCAAACGATACCTAACTTTTGACTGTCCTTGCTAGAGTTTTGTTGTTATGAGTCATATATTTTATGTATGTCACTCAGCCATTCTCGACTCTAAAAATGCCTTCAGGGTTTAAAGGGTTAACTGCATAAACATATTTGGCAACTGGAAAAATACATCTATGTATCAGTGATAATTTGGGTCTGTCACAACCTTCTATAAGCAAAGTGATCACACAAACAATTACAGCACTTTCAGAACCTTATTGTGTCGCTGTTCATTTCCTATAAAATACGTTTAAGTATGACAGCATGGTAAATAAAAAATAAATAATATATATACATATATAATATGTGTGTGTGTGTGTGTGTGTGAGAGAGAGCGCGAGTATAGCAAAACAGGAAAAATTACGTCTGTAGTTTCAAAGTGAAGGCTTATAATAGACCCTACTCTTAAAAGTGCTTTTTTATTTCCTTCTTGGACAACCAACCAATCACAGTCTTCCAAAGACTGTGTCATAGCTAGCAACAGGGTCAGCCCCGCCTCTTCACTAAGATAAAAGGTTTTGTCTTTTCCTCGCTCAGAGTTGCTCTCAGATTGGTCCTGAATCATTTTTTAAGCTAAGACTCCTAGTTAGAAATTAAGTTAAATTAGGAGCTGTCTGAGAGGATTCTTAGAATCTTAAAGAATACGGGCCCTGATCTTCTAATCTTGACAATTCCTCTCTGGCAAATGTAGATTTTTAAGTGCACAGATTTGATTAGTATATTTGTTTGGAGTTGCTGTTTTTATTGAAAAAGTCACATGTATCGATACTAGAAAGCAGGGGTGCATTTCACATACAGCAATATAACTCGCTGATTAACTACCATAGTATGAAGAATCACTGGAGAAACTAACCAACTAGTCATGACTGTTTCCCAAAACCACAGTGCCATGATCTAAGCTCTGTCATTGATCCACTCGTTCAATATGTAGGACAGTCGTTAATGATGTCATGTGCAGGTGATGGAGTAATAGCTTCTGCTAATTAATCAGTCCGAGATCTCAGAGATGCTGCTGTAACGAACAGCAATGTGGTGATTGGTTCGAGTCGTCTTTACTTTGGTTTGTGTCTAGACCATTCTGATCTTCAACACATTTACTAATGTGATATTGCTTAAATAATACATGCATCCTCATATTGTTTGGAGTTGCTGTTTTTATTGAAAAAGTCACATGTATCGATACTAGAAAGCAGGGATTTGTATGTTTCACATACAGCAATATAACTCGCTGAATAACTACCATAGTATGAAGAATCACTGGAGAAACTAACCAACTAGTCATGACTGTTTCCCAAAACCACAGTGCCATGATCTAAGCTCTGTCATTGATCCACTCGTTCAATATGTAGGACAGTCGTTAATGATGTCATGTGCAGGTGATGGAGTAATAGCTTCTGCTAATTAATGAGTCCGAGATCTCAGAGATGCTGCTGTAACGAACAGCAATGTGGTGATTGGTTCGAGTCGTCCTTACTTTGGTTTGTGTCTAGACCATTCTGATCTTCAACACATTTACTAATGTGATATTGCTTAAATAATACATGCATCCTCATATAAGTCATACACAAAATTTTAACACAATTTAAGAAGGCTAATAATTACTGGATCATAAAGCAATTGGCTATTTATTCCCTCATGACTAAAGTGGTTCTTCTCAAAGAATGAAATATTGCCCATAAAAGTGTTATCATCAAAAGTGTTATTTTATTTTAATTTGGGCTGTTATTACAATTATTATAATACTAAATAACCATCATCCTGGGTTGAGTCTTGATTTAGTCTAGTTATTAATATTAGTCCTCATTCTGTAGGTTGAGGCTTTTATACAGTAAAGATAGGGTGTGCAGTTTGGTGGAGGTTAACAATATCAAGCTAGCTTTGAAAAGATCCCCATCTGGGGAGCAGTTGGGGTTCGGTTCTTGCTCAAGGGTCTCTCCTCAGTTGTGGTTAGAGAGCACTGGTCATTCACTCCCCCACCACAATCCCTGCCGGACCTGAGACTCAACCCCTTGACCTTTGGGTCACAAGTCCGACTCTCTAACCATTAGGCCACACCTTGCTCTCAGGCCGTGAAGAGACTTTCATCAGTATAACACAAAATCTTTATGAAAAATATTGCCTATCCTAGCTTTGGTCAATTATTGTAAAAAAAATCTGGATTGGCAGCTGATTAAATTTTTTTGATTACATTTTTAACAGAACGGTCTAACCCAGAGTTCATTGATTATAACTCAATAAAGAGTGAATAATCTTGTCTGGTCGCCCCTGTGAAAATATCCAACACTGATTTATAGCTTATTCTTAGATAATATATAGTTTGTGTTGGCTAAACTTAGCCTGCATTAAAAAAAATAAAATAGGGTGTGCAGTTTGGTGGAGGTTAACAATATCAAGCTAGCTTTGAAAAGATCCCCATCTGGGGAGCAGTTGGGGTTCGGTTCTTGCTCAAGGGTCTCTCCTCAGTTGTGGTTAGAGAGCACTGGTCATTCACTCCCCCACCACAATCCCTGCCGGACCTGAGACTCAACCCCTTGACCTTTGGGTCACAAGTCCGACTCTCTAACCATTAGGCCACACCTTGCTCTCAGGCCGTGAAGAGACTTTCATCAGTATAACACAAAATCTTTATGAAAAATATTGCCTATCCTAGCTTTGGTCAATTATTGTAAAAAAAAAATCTGGATTGGCAGCTGATTAAATTTATTAATTTTTTGATTACATTTTTAACAGAACGGTCTAACCCAGAGTTCATTGATTATAACTCAATAAAGAGTGAATAATCTTGTCTGGTCGCCCCTGTGAAAATATCCAACACTGATTTATAGCTTATTCTTAGAGAATATATAGTTTGTGTTGGCTAAACTTAGCCTGCATTAAAAAAAATAATTTTGTCTCAATGGCAACAGTGAGTGAAAAAAAAAAAAAGTATATATATATACATATAATAATTATATATAATATATATTATATTATAATGAGAGATAATAATGTGATTTTAGCTCTGCTGAATATACGTCAAAGCATGGAGTTTATTTTACAGAATCTTCTGATGGTGAATGTTACACAAAGGCAGAAGTTGTTAGGTGTGTGAATTGTGAGGTTTTAGTTTTCTTTTTCAGCTGTAGTTGCTGCTGTTGTTTTAAGTAGAGTTTGAAATGTTTACTTCCTTTCATCACTGATGTTCAGACTCTTATTCTTTCAGTTTCTTCTTTATAAAGTCACATGCCAACTGGCAAGTTTTAATAGTTAATGAATGAATTCCCTGTTTGTGCGTAAGACAGACATCTCACTCTTTCATTCTGTTTTCAGGTCCTCAAACCTCAAATCTTCTGTGCTCGATATTGAACCGCTGCTGAAGTGTCAGTCTTGCGTCCATATAGCTGATCCAGATCAGTGGGTTCAGATTGAGCCGTCGGCCTGTACAGATAAAGGAGTTTCAAAGTTCAGGATCAGTACTCGGCCAGGCCGTTACGAGTGTGTCAGGACCAGGATGCGATGGGTCAGTGATTATGACGTCACCCTTCAGTATCACACCGTAGACGGACACTTCCTCAACAAAGAGCTGGAGAAGCTGCAGTGCAACCGGATCGCTCCAGTGATGGACGTGACGGTGATCTCAGGGAAACTGGAGGAAGTTCATCTGCCACATTACGCCTGTTTAGGAGAGTCTGGAGCTTCCCTCAGAGATGCTGTGAAAGTCCTCAGTGTAAAAGATGAGGGAATAACCACAGAACCAGTGCAGTTGACACGATTCCATGCTAAGATTGTCAAACCATCCTTCTCTCTTAAAACATTAATTATAAGTTGGATAATGGGATGGGATGAACACTGCGATCTTCTTCTCTACATGCGCTCTATAGATCCTCTCATTCTACATGTCTACTTTTTTCCATTTGATGATTGTGCAAAAGAAAAAGTTGAGAAGATTGAAAAATCAAGTTATTGGATCTTGCATCCCAGACCTGACAGGCCGTTTCGGATGAAAACTCCACACAGTCTTGATGTTCCTGGCGCTTCTGTCCATCCCAAAGAAGGGATCACATTCAGAAGAGAAACTGACCCAAATTTCTTCAAGATCAGGATCAAGACACGTCTGGAGAACGATTTTCATATGAGTCTGATCAGAGAGGAAGACAAGAAGATTGTCTGGACTGCAACACTTGAGAAAGAGGAACTTGATCAGATTCATCCACAGAGAGACGAGTCGCATCCACAGAGAGACGAGTCGCGTCCACAGAGAGACGAGTCGCGTCCACAGAGAGACACATGCGCTCTATAGATCCTCTCATTCTACATGTCTACTTTTTTCCATTTGATGATTGTGCAAAAGAAAAAGTTGAGAAGATTGAAAAATCAAGTTATTGGATCTTGCATCCCAGACCTGACAGGCCGTTTCGGATGAAAACTCCACACAGTCTTGATGTTCCTGGCGCTTCTGTCCATCCCAAAGAAGGGATCACATTCAGAAGAGAAACTGACCCAAATTTCTTCAAGATCAGGATCAAGACACGTCTGGAGAACGATTTTCATATGAGTCTGATCAGAGAGGAAGACAAGAAGATTGTCTGGACTGCAACACTTGAGAAAGAGGAACTTGATCAGATTCATCCACAGAGAGAGGAGTCACGTCCACAGAGAGACGAGTCGCGTCCACAGAGAGACGAGTCGCGTCCACAGACAGAGGAGTCGCGTCCACAGACGCGTCTGAATAGTGAGGCAGATAAAGCAAGATATTTTGACAACCACTGGCCAGATCTCATTCAGAAGGTCACAGATTGTAAGATTATTGCAGATAAACTGTGTCAGCAGAAACTCATTCAAGGAGAACAATATTCAAATATCATACGTTTAACCCGTCAGGACGGCATGAGAACGATCTGTGAGATTATAAATAGTCACGATGATGCTGGGAAAGCTAAACTCATCTCAATGCTTCAGGAAGAACTTTACCCCTTTTAAACATTGGTCTGGCAATGATGTCTTTCAAAATATTAAGTGATTGTAACATTAGCTTAGACATACAAAACCTTAGATTTATTTGTAATGTTTTTCATGGCAGGTAAATCTGTCACTATCAAAGCAAATTTAGAGCAATATTTATATTTATATTTGTCTAACTGTGTATTTCATGCTTGTAAATGGTTTTATACATCAGAAACATCACCAACATTTTGAGATATTTCAGGGGCTTTTTCAGTGTTAGTTTAGTTGTCATACAGCATCAACTTAAACTAAATTATGAAATTAAAATGAGAAATGTTGAATTGGTAACTAGCTGAAATAAGTTTTAAGTTTTTATATTTTATTTCATTCAACACGTTTTATTTCAAGTAACAAAAATGTTTAATGGTTTCAGTTTTAGTCTTAGTTAACTCATGTCTAGCCTAATTCAGTTCAGTCTAATAAAGGGTCTTTTTGTAAACTTTACTTTGTTGTTTTGGGGGAACAATGTTTTGGATATTTGACTGATTTTTCACGCATATTATTTCACACTGTATATGTTCCCACTGAGCTAAATAATGAGAAAGAACCAAACTTCGTATCACAGCTATGCAGACGACACCCAGATTTATCCTAGCCTTATCGCTTAATGACTACAGCCCCACTGACTAACTGCGTTTGGAAACAAAGTTGAAGTTGTCAAGGTGAATGCATACCTTGACTCTAGGGGTCAAACAACTAAAAATCAAGTCAGGAATCTTGGTGTGATTCTGGAGACAGACCTTAGTTTCAGTAGTCATGTCAAAGCAGTAACTAAATCAGCATACTATCATCTCAAAAACATTGCAAGAATTAGATGTTTTGTTTCCAGTCAAGACTTGGAGAAACTTCTTCATGCCTTTAGTTGGAAGTAGCTCCAGTTAAGATCAGATAGAACAGTAGCTACATTTAAATCCAGACTCAAAACACATCTGATTAGCTGTGCATTTACTGAATGAGCACTGAGCTACGTCTAAATTGTTTTTATGTAAACACCTGGTTCTGTGGCAACATACATCTCTCTGTAGGTTGTCTGGCTGCATGGTGACGGAGGAAGGCTGTGGTTATTTGTCTTCAGCTCTGAGTTCAAACCCCTCACACCTGAGAGAGCTGGATCTGAGCTACAATAAACCACGGGATTCAGGAATGAAGCTACTCTCTGATGGACTGAAGAGTCCAAACTGTCAGCTGCAGATACTGAGGTATTAAGACCATAGAAACGATGATGTAGTTAGTTGGTCATAATGTTGATGTGTATCTGTAGATGATCTGACTGTGTGTGTCTGTAGTTGACCTGACTGTGTCTGTAGATGATCTGACTGTGTGT